AAATTTCCGTTACATGCGAGAGAAATTAGCGCGCGTCGTGCTACAGTTTCATTGCCGCGCCAACGGGAAAGAAAATCCATCTGCATGCATGCAGCGCAGGGCAAGGGAATAGTCCGAGCCGTTGCTTTGGCGCGCGGAAGAGTGAACGGGCTTGCCGTTGATGCATGCACGCATGCGCGACAGCTAATTAATTAGACGCGCAGCCGAAGCATTCCCCTTGGAAGCCATAGCATTAAACTCGTTTATTGGTCTCGGTGAAAATAGAATGGCGCCCTGTATTCACGGACGAAGGGAGTATAAGTTAGTTTGCTACTAGAAAAAATTCTTCGAAATATATGGAAGTGGGATCTAGTTTTGTTTGCCTCGTCACGTAGAACACAGCAGTGTAGACGGAATTGAAAATAGATACACAGTTCAGAAGTTATAACATTTTGAAATAAATGTTTTGCGTGGGCTCCAACATACAGTTAATTGAGTGGATGCACGCGGCAGTTCGCTCAGCCGGGAAAAGAGAACACTATCCAATTAGGGTGCCATGCGGAAATTATTCATTCTAAAAAAAGGAAGATACATCTTGTCGGAAAACTATTCGCTCATTTACAGATCGACGAGCGTCCGCGAATTATCCGCGTAGTACCGGTACACATGATTGGGTTCATTCAACGGTGAGTATCACGTAGCAGCCTGTTGGAAAGTAAAATGCACTGACGACGTGACCGTTCCCAGTTCGGTAATAAGCACCTGGAGTATTAGGCTACTAGCTCCGATCCAGCCTCCAGCTGCCATCATCCAATAATTGGAAGCTTAATTATATCAATTATTACTCCAGTAGTAGACTAGCAGTGGAGTACTATGCTGTAGGAGAGGACAGAGATTTGTCGCAGATCGATAGATCCAATTTGTCCATCTACCAGTCCAAAAAATAACGCTTGCTTGGACTGCAAGTTACAACACGTGTGTCGCCCGGCCCCAACCACGTTTTCTTCAACCTTGACCCGCCGGTTGGCATGCGTACGACGACGGCCACCGAGACGTGGATACGGTGCAGCATGCCCACCGTTGGGCGGCCGCGCGCGAAAAGCTACTGGGTCAACTTGCTCCGACTAGCTAGGAAGACGGGCGTGGGCACGGCTGCCAGTTACAGAGAAGGAGCCATCGGGGTCGCGTGCAGCCGCGTCCGCTGCTGCCTGTTGCGGAGGAGTCGTGAGGGAAAAATCTTTCATTCTTTTTTGACCTTTCATTCTTTTTAACCAGGAGGAAAAATCTGTTTTACCAAATGTTTTTAAAAATATTGTGGTTACATGTAATGTATATGACCTATATTTATGGGTTTAAAAAATATTGTAACGATGTTCATCTTATTTATGCTTGATCCGTTTTCTATCAAATGGAAAGAAAATACTATATAAAATGGTATTCATGGTTGATTTTGGCTAAATACATAACATCAAATAGCTTGCGGATAGTCCATTGTACGACCTATGTTTTTAACTGTCTATGTTAAGATTAAAAAAATGCAGACACGAGGGATACATGTTTTCTTGTTTTATTTCTACGGCCGAGTAGTCTACGTCTAACATTGTTTTCTATTCTTTTTTCTCCCTTCAAATGAGGGGACTCTGATGTCTCAGATTTTGATAAAAAGGTAATTGATCTGAAGTTATATGAGCATGGCCCGCAGAGTTCAATTGCAGCATGAATTAAAATACAATGCATCGTTGGCTAAATCTCCAATCTTTTCATGTTTGTATGCGTTAGAGCAAGATTTAAAGACGAATTGAAACACATGTCACTTTAGTTAAATATATAAATTTCGAGCCAAAAGTCGTGTAAGTGACCATTCAATAAATTGTGTGTTCCATTACGACGTATGTCATTTTTTATAATAAAATACTAAAACACGACACTGTGCTAGAATTACATTCTTTCTAAGATAGAGTGAGTATTTAAGTTAAACCATCTGATAGATCATTGAACCTACTTTTATGAGAAACTTATTTGGAGATATAAATGTTATTAATATTTTTCTTTAAACCTACTCAAATCTCTTTTTCCGAGTTTTGCTTTCATATATTTTTTTATATAAATTTGATTTAACTTAACAAACTTTAATATAACACTGCTCTAAATTATGCATGTGCATTACTGTTGGTAGAAACTATGGAGTAGTAGAAAGATTGAAGTAAGCGGTAGAAAGGTTGAAGTATGACATGCATACTACATACTACTATGCACAACAGGAAGGGTGAAAAAGCTATCCTTGATACACGTGTACGAGAGAAATTTTCCACACGCTTGCAGCGGATGAATGCATGTTTGTTTTTTCGATGCTCGTGCTAGGACTCCTCTGCACTCTCTCTCTCTCTCTCCAGTTGCCAGCTGCACCTGCAAATCAGGTTGGCGCCAGTTGAAGTGGCGCCGAGCTCGGTGCTAAGATTCATGGCGCCAAGCCGACGTCACGTTCACGCCACGCAAGCAGCCACGCCAACGCCATGCAGAAAATAACCTTGGACCTCGGCGTCAATGACTATGGCGTCGAGACATGTAAGCTCGGCGACAATTGCTACGGCGCCGAGCTCAGGGTTTATTTTTTAAAGGATACCGCCAGGGGCGTATTTATGAAAATATTTCAAAAAAAGGTCCAAAAAGCAAAAAATTCGGCGCCCGGCACGTGTCATCTCCTCTCTGATCAGGTGGCACACAGTTGGGCATGAACCTTTTGCAGCCTGCATCAACTTGCATTATCCTGGTGCCATCGAGTAGTAGATTTTGTTTTTTCTTTGAATGCGTCATCGACATGTTTGCTGGTCTCTTCTCGGGTTGGAGCTGAGAGACCCTTTGTCACAAAGTAACTTTCGTTTCGTTTCTCTTTTTTCTTTCTTTTGAAAGGTCAACTTTCGTTTCATTCACCAACTGAGGCGCGGTACAAGAGAGAGACGGCGTGATGATGATGATAATAACTCCAAATGCAAACTTGAACTTGCTGTAACCATCCCCACCAAACCATGAGAAAGCTACACGAGTAGTACCGCCGGCCGCAGTCGGCAATTAAGGCCATGCATGTCAGTAATAAGCGCGGTAATTGCACAACGGAAATACTGACACGAGTCTGTCCATGTAACTGCGTACACGGCAGGGAGCCAGGCAACTAGTACAAACGTCAAACGCACGTGCGTGCTTCAGAACCGCATGCCGAGCCGCAGCATGACCATGACCATGACCATGTAGTAATCCGTATCTAGCTAGCTTAGCTTCCCCATTTATACATGTATACTCAATTTGTTCCTAAATATCTATTATTTTCGCTTAACGAGAAATAACTTTAAATATATATATATATATATATATCATAATTAGTATCATTAAATAGATATTTAAATCTAGTTTTTTAATAAACTTATTTGGAGATACAAATATTGCACGTATTTTTTTTTACAAATCGAGTTAAACTTTCAATACGGAAACCAACGGCGACGGCTAACGGAGGACAGAGGGAGTATCTTACACATCTTAGAGAAATTTTCATCCAATCATAATGTAAGCCTTCCAAGAGAGCATAACTGAACAAAATGTACACAGGCCAGAACGGGTGAATTTCCATGGGTATTCTCAGCAGTTGACCAGCAAGCAGCTACGATGACTTGCATGCTGCTGACTACAGTGTCCGTGTAGCAGGAGCGATTTTTTAATACTTTTTAAACAAATTTTAAATTTAACACTGTTTTTTTTTTAAACTAACACTTTTGGCCGCGCTATGTATGGCGACGCGGCGAGAGGGATGACATGGCGACGACCAGACGCTGACCGGTGACATGACAGGGTATGCCGCGCCACCTTTACGCGGCGCCCCCGCTCCGTCCCTCGCGGCGCGGCAGTCCCAGGCACCGACTCACCGAACGCACGCCGTCCATCGACCAAAGAGCCAGCCGCCTGCTCCGTGCTCCGTGCTCCCTGCACCAGCACAGCCTGCATAGGCGTCCAGCTATGTCCTCGCAGGCGCGCGTCCGTCACCGCTCACCAGAGAAGCATGTCCCCGGCAAGGGGCAGAGGTGACACGGGCTGGGACCCGACAGCACGTGATCTGCTCCTTCATTCACAGGGCGCCTGCGAGCTCCGAGGAGATCAATTTGTTTTTGCTAGACTATTCAAGCATTCCTGAATCCTGAGGCCTCAAACCGTGACAACAATGGCAAACAAGGCCAACAGAAGACAGTAACATTCAGGCGACAGGGCAGCACGAGGGCACCGGTGAACTGGATATTACTTTGTATTACTGTGCAGCCGTGCAGGCTGTGTCGTGCGTGATGTTACAATCTCCGGCTGGCTAGCCGTGAAATTCTTAGCTTTTCGTCTAGTACATAATAAGTTAATAACTACATTATATATGTGAATCAGATTCAAAGTCGTTCGGTTCAGCTGCAGACAACCTCTGCAGTCTGCACACTTTGGATGAGCAATAACGTGATCCAACGCTTTGTCACGAGCATTCTTCTTGAACCTTGTTTGGATGTGCGTGTATTTACTTCAATCCACATGTGTCGAAGAGGATTGGAATAGAACTTAATTTAATTCCACTTCAATACATGTGGATTGGGTTAAATACATATTAAAGCCTAAGTACGAAACGTATGGTGGCGGGAGCCATGGGCGATCGAAATTCTTCAGCGGATTCGCCGAGGGCACACATGGTATATTCTGTTTTCCAAAAATCTCAACAGGCATCAATCAATCTAGATGCCTCTCCGGAGTTTGGATAACGAAGACTTCGAGGAAGAATACTGCATTAGGATTCGATCGGTTGTTGACAAGAACAGAGTCAAAAGTTGCGACTTTTTGCAATTCAGAACGTCCGGTTTCAAATCAAATCTCTTGAAAGATGCAGGTGAACGAACACGAACAGATTGGCTCCAGGACGGTATTTCCTATATTTACAGGTTTTGTTCAAGCACGCAAGCTAGGATCAAATTCTGAAATTTTCAATTCGAGTGGTTCAGCGGACATCAGAAGCCCGGGCTGAGAATGTTGAGCAAGGACACTCTGGTGTTGACCAACGCTCGGAACACCTTCTCGCCGCTGCCGTCGACGTTGGCGATGCACCGCTCCAAGTTCTCGTGCCGCTCGAACGCCGCCTTCCGCGCCCTCTCCTCGGGCTTCATGCGCGCCTCGGACCGGAGCTGCAAGGTGGAAGACTCGTCCTCGTCGTCGCGGCCGTTCTGCCGGTTCTGCCCGCCTGTCGGGTCCCAGCCCGTGTCACCTCTGCCCCTCGCCGGGGACATGCTTCTCTGGTGAGCGGTGACGGATGCGCGCCTGCGAGGACATAGCTGGACGCCTATGCAGGCTGTGCTGGTGCAGGGAGCACGGAGCAGGCGGCTGGCTCTTTGGTCCATGGACGGCGTGCGTTCGGTGAGTCGGTGCCTGGGACTGTCGCGCCACGAGGGAAGGCGCGGCGGCGCCGCGTCAAGATCGGTGGCGCGGCAGACCCTGCCACGTCACCGGTCAGCAACTCGGTCGTCATCACGTCATCCCTCGTCGTGCCACCATACATGGCGCGGCACGGGCGTTTCGCCGCACTAGAAAAATAGCGCGGCAAAAAGTGTTAGTTTTAGAAAAAAAAAAATAATGTTAGATTTAAAATTTATTTAAAAAAAAGCGTTAAAAAAATTCGCAGGAGCAGGTAGCAGCTATGACGGTGAATCAATTCATACGTCGTGTACATGCGTACGCTACGTTTGCGTGATATACGTACATACGTCATGGAAGACGGCTGGGGGTTGCTTCACCTAACCCGTGGTCGCGATCACGGCGAGGGCCGGGGCCACTGCACACCGCGCGCGCACGGTACTGCCCGTGTCCACCATCTCTCGCTGTCGTCTCAGTCTCAGTCTCACCGGCCGGCCTCGCCTCACTTGGCTTGGCTTATAAATTCCGCGCCACTCCGACCCCGGCCCTCTCAGGATCGATCGCAAGAGAGAATCCTACCAAACCTAGCTACCAACACTCGATCATCTTATCACTCGACCGCACAGACAAAGGGGAAACCTAAAAACTAACTCTTCAACTTTCCTCTGCCTTCCTGCTTCGGCACTACTACTACGAGAGACACCGCGAGCTAGCTAGCTTTCGTGACGAAACTAGCTAGCTAGAGGAACAGCTGGTCGGTCTCTTATCATCATCGTGGCCAAGATGACCGTCGTCGAAGCCGTTTCCACTGATGCCGGCGCCGCCCCTGCCGCCGCGGCGCCGGTCCAGCCCTCGGGGAACGGGCAGACCGTGTGCGTCACCGGCGCGGCCGGGTACATCGCCTCGTGGCTCGTCAAGCTGCTGCTCGAGAAGGGATACACTGTCAAGGGCACCGTCAGGAACCCAGGCATGCATGCCTTTTGTTATATGTGCATATATATGTAGTAGAGTTGAGGAGTGATCTATGGCGATTAACGTTTGTGTTAATGGCGATGGCGGCAGATGACCCGAAGAACGCGCACCTCAAGGCGCTGGACGGCGCCGCCGAGCGGCTGATCCTCTGCAAGGCCGACCTCCTGGACTACGATGCCATCTGCCGCGCCGTGCAGGGCTGCCAGGGCGTCTTCCACACTGCCTCCCCCGTCACCGACGACCCGGTGAGTGCCAGACCGATCGACGTGATCCTCGGTCACCTCGCCTCGCATCTCAACTGCTCCCTTGCTTGCTGCCACCACCATGACGTACGTACGCACGCATCGATCAGTAAAGTAACAACTGCATGCATGCGTGCAGGAGCAAATGGTGGAGCCGGCGGTGCGCGGCACGGAGTACGTGATCAACGCGGCGGCGGAGGCCGGCACGGTGCGGCGGGTGGTGTTCACGTCCTCCATCGGCGCGGTGACCATGGACCCCAGCCGCGGGCCCGACGTCGTGGTCGACGAGTCGTGCTGGAGCGACCTCGAGTTCTGCAAGAAAACCAGGGTGGGTGCTTGGTCACTTTTGAGTCCTGCTTGCCTTAGCTTGTCGTCTCCATCTGTCATCTATATATCCCGCCTACTACTACCTCATCACTCCATGCTGCTACCTTTCACTAGCTGCACCGTATCAGTATTTTCTTTCTGTTTTTGTTTTCTTTGGATCTACGACAGATAAAAAAAAGCTAGGGTGAAAGAAACACTAACGATAGCTATCATGAGATAGGTGAATTATTACCTATTGTCATGCACTACCTACCGAACCCTAAAAGAGAGTTCGACTTTTGAGGCAGCCCACAATAGATCAATCAAGTGCTAGCACATGTATGGCATAAGCAGAATCTATCGTAGCTAACTCTGCATGCCATACATGTGCCTATCGGCGTGCGTGGCCATTGGCAGGGCACAACAGCCTCTCTGTTCTCTTGCTTGTGTGTTTCACTTTCAGACAAGACTAGAAGAGTATAGACTGTGTTTTTCCTTGTCTTTAAAACACAATATATATTTTCCATATTTTTCTTGTGAAGGCGACGACCCTTTTTTTTTTTGGCTGCTGTTGACGGAGTGTTACACCGAGAAATTAAGGGCTAGCTAGCTAGCTAGTATAGATGTTTGGGAATCGTATTATACCTGCATGTTTCTTGAACACGTGCATGACGACTCTTTGTTGTCAAAACTAAAGCTGAAAATTCAAACCTAGCTCTTTTTAGTTGTCAAAACTAAAGCTGAATTGTGGACTCTTAATTATTCGAGATAGATGCAGCGGTTGAACTGGTGATAAAAAAAAGCATATATATAGCAGCACCTACAAATAGTACATGCATGCGCGCCCACACCTTACAACTCGTCGATCGTCTATACACCCCCAACCCTCTCCAAAAAAAAAAAACTTGCTGGGAAGGGGGGAAAAACTTTGGTCTTCTCACGCAACAATGACGTCAGCATGACACACCAATAATATTGTTCTTGTTGGACAGTTCACCTGCTCATCCTGCAGTCCCATCACTACTACGATGATGTAGTGTAGGTGTTGTGATGATGATCATCATATATATATCTGAATCTGATCCGCTCATGATGCACGATGCATACATATATCATATATGCAGAACTGGTACTGCTACGGCAAGGCTGTGGCGGAGCAGGCGGCGTGGGACGCGGCGCGGCAGCGCGGCGTGGACCTGGTGGTGGTGAACCCGGTGCTGGTGGTGGGCCCGCTGCTGCAGCCGACGGTGAACGCCAGCATCGCGCACGTGGTCAAGTACCTGGACGGCTCCGCGCGCACCTTCGCCAACGCCGTGCAGGCGTACGTGGACGTCCGCGACGTCGCCGACGCGCACCTCCGCGTCTTCGAGAGCCCCCGCGCGTCCGGCCGCCACCTCTGCGCCGAGCGCGTCCTCCACCGCGAGGACGTCGTCCGCATCCTCGCCAAGCTCTTCCCGGAGTACCCCGTCCCCACCAGGTATAAACCGTGCTTACCAACATCTTTTTTTTTGTTAAATAAATGGCATGTCTAATATAAATTCCGGCCGCACATACAAGTAGCTAATTAATGCGCATAAATTACTATGTTTAGATGTACTTAGCGGTTGGCATGTCGTCCATATATGATCCCAGAGTGGTAGGTAACGATGGATAGGACCGGCCGGACACTGACACATGCACTGCTCCTATCATCAGCTCGGTGTGCACACGTAAGCAAAGCAAAGTGATGATCATCAGCTGAAGGGCGTGCGTACGTATGGGTTCTGGTGAACCAACTCCCTAGACGCAGACTTGAGCGTACTGTACAAGCTACCTAGACGCAGCTAGTACATCACACGCCTCCAATCGCATGCTAATAATGCAAGTCGTGATGGAGCTAGATATAACTCACGGTGGTGGCCAAGAGTTTAAATACTGTAGGTCACTGTCAAGAGATCGAGGGCAGAGGTGGATCTAGCGGTGAGGCGGACGAGGCTCAACCACCTCCACGACAATGGAGCCCCCTCGAGTTCCTCCTAATTTTTTAACATGAAAGAGATATAGAAAGAACTCAAGAGGTTAAAGATGACTTCAGCCTCTTTTTTATTAAATCCTACGTCCGCCACCGATCAAGCGGAGGAGGCATTATATGTATTCGCCACTGAAGAAAGGCCGGCCAGCTCGAGACCTCGAGGACTCCTCCATCTATGTCCATGGACGGCCGGCGCGCGACGCGTCAGTACCTGTTACGTTCGCCGTGCACGTCGCCGTCGACGGAAGTAGGTGAGGTGGTCGGAGCCCGACCCGGCCCCTCTTTTTCTCTCTGCATGTCACGACCGAACAACTTTCAACCGATATATATACTGGAGAATCTCTCTCGACAGGCGCTTGGCCGCTAGTCTACCTTTGCAGCTGTAGATATGTGCTGCCAGTGGACACAGCGTACGTGAGCACTTTGAAGGGTAGCTGTCCGAGGGGTAGAAATCTGTAGCGTCAGAGCAGCGTGTGGTCGGACTTTGGTCACTTTTAGTCCTCACTTCTATCTAAATACTACGATTAAATGGAACTAAAAAGTGCATTAGCCAATTAGTCACCTAATTATTACTAAATGCAATTAAAACCCATCTTTTAGTCAGGCTACCTCACCTTTTAATCACTTTGATCAAACACCTTGACTAAAAGGGCTAAAAGGCATGTTTTAGTTTTTTTAGTCTACCAAACCAAATAGAAGGTGACTAAACATTAGGTGGCCCTTACTCGCTCTCACCGACATTATCCTGTCTGGTCCGTGTTCGCTTTGCCGTTGGCCAATCGGGTACGGCCGTTGCTGGTATATATCACCATCACCATGCGTGACTCCTGGAACAGATGCATTTGCTCATTCTGCTGCAACTCTGCTTCTGCCAGCCTCTGTTTCCTAGCTGCTTGGGTCCATTGCAGGCCTGCATATATGTGCCATGTGAAACAGAGTTTGGCTTTTATCTAGCACTAGAACAGAAATTGCTCATAGTCACGGAGACATAGACCATTATGTAAAAGACAGCAATAAGAGCATGGAAAATATATAGCTAATTGGAAGCAGTTTCTTGAGGGGTGACCTCTGCAGTAGGTCATCTTGGAGGTACTAAATCAATTTGTAGCAATTTCTTCAGCGGTGACCTCTGCAGTAGGTCATCTTTCCCGTCACCCTAGTCATCGGATACTTAACTGCGCGAGTACTTCAATGTTACATGGATCCTAGTGTAGTTGGTTGCTTAAAAAAACTATTACAAGGTACACTGAAAGTACTCACGTATGTAACATGTGGCTAAAATTACCGAGTCGTCCTAGCCACTATCATTACCACACAAGAAAGCAAAGTATGACTGTCACTCTAGCTAGTAAAATCATGCATTTTTCCAACTACATCATCACTTCTAGATTGAGAGACCCAAGCAACTATTACACCAACATGTAGAATATTTACACTCCACCCTCCAGTATTTTCAAACAAAACATGGACAGAGAGAGGTTAGTCTCATTCAAAAAACACGGAAGAAGCTAGCTGTTGACACTGGAGAGAGAGAGCCATCGTAGGATGCGACTACAAATGGTTGGAACATTATTCAACTGCTGAGTGCTGACTACAAATGATCTACCAACCTCTAACGCGCTGGAATATTCAACTCTCTGTTTTGGCGGGTAATCTCGTTGTAACAGCGGTGGGTCCGTTCGTCTGCTACAGCTTTCCCTTGACATTTCATATATACGATTGTTTCAAACATACCTCGTCGTCGACCATTTGCTTTGCTGTCGTAATCTCACCTTACCAATGATACCTAACCGTAGCATCCTTTTCCATCACTGTCACTGCATCAGCATATTGTCGCAATGCTTTGGGTCCAAGCTGAAGAATCTCACCTGCCACACAGGACAACCATGTGTTTACACTGGAATTGATACTACAACTAAGAAAATCAAAATGGATTATAGCCAGTGGCGGAGCCATGATTTATACTCAGGGGGGGTCGGCCGTCAGGAATTATACTTAGGGGGGCCGGCTCGGTCTTTTTCATTGCGATAATTTTATTATCTAGTTGTGTTTTGTATAATTATATTATCTAGAAGATATTAATAGGTATATATGACAAGAATTTTATATAATCTCCCTCTTAATATAAATAAAAAATATTAAGTCATACTACTATTTTTTGTTGTTGTGAAACATTGGGGGGCATGGCCCCTTGGCTCCGCCAGTGATTATAGCGCAATGGTCTTGACCTGTGCTCCTTTTCTAGGATGACCTTGACCTGTAGTTGCTGGCTTGGTCCTGTGATGACCATGACTGAAGAAACCTGCTTTGGTTAGCTGACTGACTGTGTGAGCGTTTGGGTGTGCAGGTGCTCCGACGAGGTGAATCCGCGGAAGCAGCCGTACAAGTTCTCGAACCAGAAGCTCCGGGACCTGGGGCTGGAGTTCCGGCCGGTGAGCCAGTCGCTCTACGATACGGTGAAGAACCTTCAGGAGAAGGGCCACCTGCCGGTGCTCGGAGAGCAGACGACGGAGGCCGACGAGCTGCAGCAGGGAGGAATCGCAATCCGTGCGTGAGAGGGAGATGCCCATGTACACATGAACACAAAAGCAATGTTCATACTGCCCTGCCCCTGCCCCTGCCCCTGCTGTGTAAACAAACTAGTGTTTGTTCGCTGGCTGATGATATCCGTACCCTAAGGCTTGTAACGTCATGTTCGTTCTTGTGAACTATAGTGAGTGAGTGAATAAAAATGGTTAATGTTCGTTCATTTTCCACTTTGATCCAGGTCATGGATCTTCCATTTCGCAGATAAGAGAGTTCATCAATTCGATCAATTGGTCAAGAGACCACCAGTTTGGGAAAGAATAGCAAGTAATAGGATCAGAGGGTCCTTTCCTCTCAGTTTGGAGAAGAGGAACTCTGCTCGTGAGACATCATTTGGCACCTGCCCTGGCATGTGCATGTCGAAATCTTGCAAAGTATCGGGACTTCTGGAGTAGCACTATACCAGATGGGCCTAGACGCTAGAATGTACAAGTACAAGACCCTTTGGTAAAAAAAAAAACCCGGATAAACTCAATACTGTTCATGTTTGGTAGCCCAGTTGCGTAGAAGAGTGAGCTTTATTATTGGCTGATGCACAATGTCACCCTTACTTGATCATCACATAACGATTCACAAATCACATTGTTGTGGCCATAAGATCATAGTAGTAATCCAGAAGAAACGACGACAGTCGCCATATGTACACTTGCCAGTTGGACTCTGATGCCCTGTCTGATATTTTGTAACACCTGTTACCAAAACTAATGCTTCTAAATCACTTGACTTCTCCCCAGGTGAAAATAGCAGAATATCAAAATCTTGTATTTTTAACTTGCTAAAACATAACGACATTAGAATTGAAGTGGTTAGATTTTTGGGAAAAGATGGACAGAATTAATAGGAAGTTCCTCGTTTATAAGACTCGTCAAATAAACATCTCAGTACTCATGTTTGGTTTTGGTAGCTCATTTGCGTAAGAATTAGCTCTATCATTGGTGATGCAATACAAGACCAGTTTGCCATCTTTCCTTGATCATGACAATAAACAAAATATCGTTGCAACTCAGAAGAAACAATGACAGTTAACAGAGCTGAGATCACAACATTTGGAGTTAAGTAACAAGACCAAATGAGAGTCGAAAGGAAAGCAAAGAAAGAACACTAAAACAAATGAGTTGCTAAACAGAGAGAGGAGTGCACAAAACAGGGAATGCGGAGAAGAACAATATCTCAACTCCCAAGACCAAATTAGAATAAAAGGAAAAGCAAGAAAGAGCGCTAAAACAAATGGGTTGGTAAACAGAGAGGAGAATACAAAACAAGGAATCTGGAGTACAATAATATCGCAACTCCCAACCTAACATATCTTTGACTTCCTTAAACTAATAATGGTTATGGAGAAACAAGGAATTTACAACACACAAATAGACTCAAGTTTGTTACTAAACGGTGTGATGCCCAATAATTGTAAAGAGACAAATGAACTTACACAGCATCACAACCTATCGCAACAAAAGTAACTATATCAATAAAATTGTATCCTGAGGTGTGAGCAGAGAGCCCAGAAAAGGAGTACCAAGCCCTTGCTGATCTAAATGTATTTCAGTTCTAAGAAAGAATTCCTGTTGCCACTACAGTAATGTTCAATATTATAGCAACATAAGGAACTTCGAGCAACATGCTGAGTGACACTAAGGTCTATGTACACAATCCTAACTCATGGTGTATCTAAAAATGTATCAAAAAGTGCCTCTCAAAGTTGAAATTCCAATATAGTAGTTTTCCTAGGTAAAACAAGTCTAGCCAGCCTCTAAATATTGAAAGTTGTGCTAGTGGGTACTAAAAATGCTCTTTTTTGGATAAAACTCACCAGAGATGCTTTAATTGGCATGTGACGATTTTATCCTCTGGTAAGTTTTATCTGGAAAGCTGGCTTCAAGGGTTTCTAAGAAAAAAAATGAACTCAACCTATTTGGCTCAGTTGTAGTTTGCTAAGCCTTGTGGAACACAAGGAACAATATAGCGTGTGAATAATAATTTTCAAAGGAATGGGTCAGTGATATTCTTTATTTATATTGTTATTATGCAGAAATAGAAAGAGTTGTTGAGAATAAAAATTAGACATTGTAGACACCATGTGATTGAGGATGACAGTGGAACTTCAAACATCATCAGGGTGTGATAAAGAAGGCAATAATTGGGGATGAGATAAAAGCTGCAGTAGTTTACTTTATAGGTCAGTTTCCTGAGTGCAGTTTAAGTTGAATCATTTGAATTGAGATTATCAGGCTGGTACCCCACACACACACACTCTGATGAATTTTAGTAACTACAAAGGTTGTAAAACAAGGGGATCAAGTTTAAGCTTAATTTTCAGGGCAGCTATTAAAGGTCTAATCGCCTTCGACGAAACTGCTTGTATCACATCTTGCCACAGAACTGGTAAGACATAATTTGCTGCTGATCTCTCTCTATCTTGCTGCAGCAGAGTTAGCATTTGGTCAGCTTGGCTGTCCAGTCTCTACTGTTGTAGCAGTATGGCAATAGGCCGCCTCTAGTACATTAGTTGATAGTTATTACATTAGCCATGTCTTGGTAGTGGGCTGATCTAAGTTTTGTTCTGCTAGTACTAGAAGTAGTTGGTGTACCTTACGAATAGGTAGTTGGTGTACTCACCAACAACTATGTACCTGGTAGAGGTACTAGCACTTGTATATATATCACACCTAAGGCAATGCAAAAGAGCAGTTCAGTTTGTCACATCCAGAAGTAGAGCTTTCAGCCAGCGCTAGGCTTGTGCTGTGTATGTGTGAGCTATTCTCAATATCTTTTTCTACCTCTAGCCATAGTGAGTGAGTGTGCTGGTAAGCTTACTGCTTACCTGTGCAGGGCAGCCGAGGGACCAACAAGTGGTATCAGAGCTGTATAAGCGCCATCGTCGGACTAACCGTTGACGATGACGGACGGTCTGGAGATGGACGACAGCAGCGGCGCTGCTGTGGCTGCCCAGCCACGACAGGAGGCCGTCGTGCGCACGGTGCGGGAGATCAGCGGCACCAGTTGGCCGACGCTGACTCGCACCAACTATGGTGAGTGGACGGTGACCATGAAGGTCAAGCTCAGAGCCCGATGGCTCTGGAATGCCATTGACAAGGGCACCGACAACGAAGAAGATAACATGTCAGCGTTGGAGGCTATCCTCGTTGCTGTGCCAGCAGAGTACATGGAGCCGTTGGGGGCGAAGAACTCTGCTAAGGAGGCGTGGGAGACCATTGCAGCGATGCGCGTCGGCTCCGACCGCACAAAGAAGGCAACGGCCCAGCTGCTGAAGCAGGAATACGCTTGTAAGGGACCGTGACACCTAAAAGGAGGAGGTGAATTAGGCAACTTGAAACTCTAACTCTAAACTATGCCCTCTTTTTCTACCCTTAGCAAAACCTATGCAAAAGATAAACTATCTAAATGTGCAACTACGGTTTTGCTAGTATGTTGCTATCTCTACCGCAAAAGAAGTTATGCAACCTAGGTTCTAAACCTATCAACTAGCCTATCACTAAGCTAGAAAAGTAAAGCACACATCAAGATTGCAATGTAAATATGGAAGCTAACGAGTAAGGTAGAGATATGCAAACTCCCGTCGACGACTCCGGTATTTTTACCGAGGTATCGAGAAGCGCGCAAGCTTCCTTCTAGTCCTCGTTGGAGCCCCTCGCAAGGAATCTCTCGCAAGGGCCAAGCTCCCGGTCGGGTAACTCCATGGATAGCCTCGGGCCTTCCCCACGCGCAAGTGGGTCTCCGACGTGTCTTCCGGCAAGCCTCTCCTGGATGCTCCCCGCCGTCTTCACTATTAAGCTTCCGGCCGAACCGTCGCGGGCCTTGTTCCCTTCGGTACACGGTGGCGGCCACACCACAAACGTGGTTGGTATGATCTCGCAAGACTACAAGCCCCTCCGATGTACAACAATGGTGCGCGCAAGCACCGAGTGATAAGAGGTGTGCAAACCTCACTAAACATTAGGCCTAAACCTAGAGCAAGCGCATAAGTTATGGTCTAATCAACGTAAGCACTTCGCAAAGCACCTACGCTAATCACCTAATAAATCACTAAGCACTATACAAATGGAGATCACTAAAATAATGTATCAACACCATTGGTATGTTTTCTCATCTCTCCACATCTCAAATGGCCGGTTGGGGGTCTATTTATAAGCCCCACCGAGAAAGTAGCCGTTGGAGGCGAAACCCACCTGTCTGCTACTGACCGGACGTTGTCGTCGTCCTGACCGGACGTGTCCGGTCATCTCGACCGTTAGAGCGCGCGCGTTGATCGAACTCTGGGCCGAGTCCGGTCTCACACGATCGGACGCATCCGGTCGCGCTGACGCCGCTCTGGAACCTCTCTGGACTCGATCTTGTCCTTGCAAATGTCTCCATGTGGCATTATGAATTTAAGCCTCCCCTAACTCCATAATCCATTATCCTCCCTTTCTCGGACTATTACCACTTGTAAATTATTATGACCGGGATTGCTTTTGGTTCTACAAATTCTCTCCCTTTAGAATCAAACATCGAAAAGAAAGATATTAGTAGCACAAGGGAGGGTCAAACTTGGTGATCCTTTGTATATAGAGTGGAATAGGTCATCAAATTTGACTCACATTATATATACTAAGCTCCCCCTAAATATATGCATACATATGATGAAAAATATAGTTTATGAATAATTGACAAATTAACGCTCAAGAGAGTTTAATCTATATAATGCATGGAGAAAGCATATAAATACAAAAGTGAAATCAACATGATGATATCGGTTTAGAAATACCACATGTGGAAACCAATTTGAATTATACCATTTGCAATAGGTGGTTAATATTTAAAGTATGATGCTTAACTCCGGGGACTCTATTTTTCTTGCAATAAGACTACTACAAACATGATAAGCTTGAAAATATGTTAGTCTCAAAGCATCCAACTTGTAGAGTAACCTCTCCTTAATTTGTGCACACAAGTATGGAATATTTATAGGAGACATGCACATTGATTTTAGAATAAAAAAATATCACTTGAAAGATGACATTATATGAATGTGAGAATCATTTTCGAATATGATATTCGAGAGAAATTATCTACAATTTGGATTTTGGCACATATTAGATGAATAATTGTAAAACAAGCTATGTGTCGTGGTCCTAAACAATTTAAACCATGTAGGTTTGCTCCTAGGGTTAAGAGTGAAACCGAGCAAGCTTACATTAGATATACCTAGTGTATGCAAGACAAAAGATTAAACATACAAATACAAACCTAGACATGAAAATGAACTAAATGCTAGTTGAAATTGCAAGAAATTAAATCTAGTTACTTAACATGGGAAGGAGAATTTAGGCACATAGTTTTCACTAACCCACATGACAATTTTCTTGTCCATAATTATGCACCCCATAAAATGTAC